CCAAGGCAAGACTTCACTGGAGGGCAGGTTCTGCCCTTCCCTCTAGAAGGAGGAGAATGGACTCTCCTGAGGAGACACAGAGGGAGCCTGAAGCAGCATGGGATTGGGGGTGACGAGAGTTGGGAGCCCTCTTGAGGAAATTCCTATAAATCCTGAGTAATGGCTGTTAAACTTATGACTACTTGATGTGTGGCTGATGGTTTTTGTGGGGTTTTTGTGGAGTGGGAAGCGGTTCTGAAAAACTCTAGAAGGGGCTGAATTTCACTTTGGAGTAAATATGGTACCCTGTGGAGACAGCACCAAGGAAACGGGGAGCCCCGGGCCAGCAGAAGGTCAGCTCCCAGGGGAACAGAGATCCCAGAGGGACTGGGAGGTCTACCGACCCAAAATTGAAACACAGGGTAGGATTTCAGGCAATTTTATCTTGCCTAAGGGTAACGTTGGGTTGCTTGTTTTTGTTGTTTTCAAATAAACTCTTCGTATTAATCTAACGTACACTGTCTAAGCACTTGATTCGTTTTCCCAAGGTTTGTTTTTCCTTTGAATGATAATTATTTTTCCCAGTTTCAGTTATAAATGGAAAGGCAGTACTGGCATTTTATCTCTGAAGGGATATTATTTATAATGATCTAAAAATAAAGCTGATCTGCTGATAAAGTATAAAAAGAAAGATAGGAAATGCAGGCTGGGCACTGAGATGCGCTGAGCCATCAGACAGTAGGATGTAGTAGAAAGAGCCCTAGCCCAGAGCTGGAGACCGGGTTCTAGGCCCAGGTCTTCCACTCACCCTGTGGCATGGACAGTTCCAGGTCACTGTGTCTTCATGAAATAAGGACATTGCACAAAATTGGCTCTGCAGTCTTCCTGGGCTCAGAAAAATCTTTGATAGGACGAAGAACATGGATGATTATAGGAAACAATGAGTACTTGCAACCAAAAATTGAGAACTGCAAAATTAATAAAATCTTCCTGTTTTGGAAGTCAGTCTTTTGGATGTTGACTTTGTTTACTAAAGCGTAGAGAATAAACTGTTCCTTTTTTGCTATAATTTGTCATGTTTTGTTGTTGTTTTAAGTTCATTGAAAAAGCTCATTGGCACAATGTCCCCTGGAATTGTCTTAGGCATTATTTGGTGGAAATATCCCTGCCCGCACCATCACTGTGTCTGCTGACTGCCTTCTCTGCCATCTGCCATGTGGATCACAGCTCACTGCAGCCTCAAACTCCTGGGCTCAAGTGATCCTCCCACCTCCGCCTCCTGAGTAGCTGGGGTTATAGGCGTGAGCCACTGCACCCAGCTACCCAGGCCTTCATTCTCCACTAGTCTCCGTTTCACTTCAGATCTCAAACAGAAGCTGAACATTTTCTTCCTGTTTCTGAGCTCTTATTAACTAAATATCTACACTTTTGTTTGAGTTTGTTGTTTCTTATTTCTCTGTTGATCCAAATGAACAATTCCAGATCAAAAATCTTTTAAAAGTAGACATGGGAAACTATAGTCAAATAATGTATCTTTTACTATCACAAATTGAATCTATGTTACTCTTTAAGAAAATCATCTAGTATTTTCTTATTGCTAATTTTTTTTCTTTTTCTGTTTTTTTTTTTTTTTTTTTGGAGACGGAGTTTTGCTCTTGTCGTCCAGGCTGGAGTGCAATGGCGTGATCTCGGTTCACTGAAACCTCCACCTCCTGAGTTCAAGCGATTCTCCTGCCTCAGCCTCCCTAGTAGCTGGGATTACAGGCTCCCACCACCATGCCCAGCTAATTTTTGTATTATGGGATTTCACCATGTTGGCCAGACTGGTCTCAAAACTCGTGACCTCAGGTGATCCACCTGCCTTGACCTCCCAGAGTGCTGGGATTACAGGTGTGAGCCACTATGCCTGACCCTCCTATTGCACATTTTTGACTCACTTGACAATATAGATATTATGTCATGAATTTTGGCATGCCCCCTTCATGTTCAAATGGGTAGTGGTTAGATTTGGATTTGCTCTGACACACTCAGGTTGGAGGAAAGGTCAGGTCTCTTTGTTTGTCCATAGGTGCTGGCTGGATCTCCAGTCTTGGGAGTGTAGGATCCTGTCTTCCTTGGGACCATTCAGGAATGCTGGAAAAATGGAGCCAACCCAGCAGCTTGGAGGACAGATCTCTGTTCTGGTCTTCTGCCCATATTGTTGCTTGTTGGAAACTGACCTAAGCCAGTGAGCTTATTTCTAATTGTCAGACAGATACTGAGAGTCTGACCCTGACAGCATGTGGGAGTCACAGGTCCACTCCTCAGCAGCCTTGCTACAGGTGGTCTGCTGCAGCGAACAGGTCTGAGAAGACACTCTGCAACACACATGAACACTTACTAGCAAGCAGGCAGAAAGATCATTGTGTTTGTAATCTCACAAAGTCCCAGCTGTAGCTCCTGGTGGGGAGGCTTTGATGGCAGCAGATGTGACAACTGGCTGACCGAATACTTTAGTAAAGTACAGAGCATGGGGCCTGGGAGGGAGTCTGGGGCCCTAGAATGTCATTCTAAAGGATATTGGTCTTTTGCGCTCACCAGATTCTCATACCCCTTTTGTTTGAGAGTGGAAATGCCTGGATAATATTTCTAGTTAATCCATAGATTCTGAGTATCCTTTCTGCTAATATAGAAGACTCTCCAGAATGAACTTAGGTGGCATAATTGAAACACTCTGGGGGCTGCCTCTGGAATGTAGGTGCTGGGTTAGGATCCTTTGGTGCTCACAAAGCACTCCTAGAGGCCGGTCGCGGTGGCTCATACCTGTAATCCCAGCACTTTGGGAATCTGAGGCAGGTGGATCATGAGGTCAGGAGTTCGAGACCAGCCTGACCAACATGGTGAAACCCCGTCTGTCTCTACTAAAAATACAAAAATTAGCCGGGCCTGGTGGTGCGCACCTGTAATCCCAGCTACTCAGGAGGCTGAGGCAGGAAAATCACTTGAACCCAGGAGGCAGAGACTGCAGCGAGCCGAGATCACGCCACTGTACTCCAGCCTGCACAACAGAGCAAGACTCCATCTCAAAAAAAAAAAAAAAAAAAAAAGCCCTCCTAGAGTGCAGATTGCTGATTTCCTCTGAGCTTAACCACTCCCAGGGTACATATTAAAACCAGTTTATACACCCTTGTTTGTTGCAGTGTTTTTACTGAATTATTTTTAAGTAATAACAGATGATAGAACCACTTCTGCTTCCAGTTCGTCCTGGACTCCAGCTTGAGAACTTCACAGCCCTCCCCCAGTGAGAAGCATGGGGACAGAGCTCTTTGTTAAGGTTCCAGGCCTGCCCCGTCTCTACTAAATATTACAAAAAAAAAACTAGCCGGGCGAGGTGGCGGGTGCCTGTAGTCCCAGCTACTCGGGAGGCTGAGGCAGGAGAATGGCGTGAACCCGGGAGGCGGAGCTTGCAGTGAGCCGAGATCTGGCCACTGCACTCCAGCCTGGGCGACAGAGCAAGACTCCGTCTCAAAAAAAAAAAAAAAAAAAAAAAAAAGGTTCCAGGCCTGGGGCTGAGTGGCCTCTCTCCATCCTCAGGTGGGTCCTGTCACCCCAAGACTCTGAGTGTGATGGACTAAGCACACTTCTCCTCCCAGCCTCTCTCACAAGGGCTGCTCTCATGGGTCTGGCCCCTGGGAACTCATCCCTTCACCAAGACTGCCCATGTGCAGGGCCCCTTGGAGGCCAAGAGACGCCTGGGAAACTTTTTGTTTGGGCTTTTAACAAGTTTTGTAAGAAAAGGAAGATACACCAAAACAGGGTCACAAAAATTGTAGTGCTTTAAGAATGTTCGCATGTAACAAATAAGAACGTTTTAAACACATGCATGACCAGACACGGTGGCTTATGCCTGTAATCCCAGCACTTTCAGAGGCCAGCGTGAGAAGATCCTTGAGCCCAGGAGTTCAAGACCAGCCTGGATAACATGGTGAGACCCCATCTCTACAAAAAATAAAAATTAGCTGGGCATGATGGCGCATGCCTATAATCCCAGCTACTCAGGAGCAAAAGCAGGAGGTTTGCTTGAACCCAGGAGTTCAAGGCTTCAGTGAGCTATGATTGTGCTACTATACTGTAACCCGAGCAACAAAAAGACCCTATCTCAAAAATAAAAAAATAAAAAAGCAACAACAAAAAAACCACAGGCAAACACAGTGTACCCTCATCAGGAGAGAATGTCTAAAGTCTTACTTAGAGCATTGAAGAATGTCAGGCCTCGAGCAATGGGCCTTCCAAGCCCCGGGACAGGCCCAGCCTCTGGCCTAGACTTCAGAAACCAAAGGTCTCTTAACCTTCCCCTGGCCCAGGCAAAGCCCAGATCCCCAGAATTCAAAGTTCTTGTGTCCCTTTCAAACAAAGGAAGGAAAAACACCTCTTTCCTCAGAGACCTAGCTGACGCATCCACCAGATGATCCTGCCTCACAGGGATGGCCTTCTCTTGTCACTTTCAGAGAATTCCCACCCTCGACTTCCTTTTCATCTGCCCAGGCGTGGATTGGAGGCTGTCTTAGCCATGTCCGTTTTCCTGACTTTCTGATAGTTTCAGTGTCCTCTGGCCCCTAAACCAGTGGCATGTAATTAGAGAACCTGTAGGAGTTGGTGCCTGACTTCTTAGCTCCATTGAATCACAGGACTAAATTGAGTTCAACAAAAAGCACTTGCAGTAACATTCAGGACTGTGGGGAGGGGCCTCTAAAGGATGCTAAGTCTCGGGCTGGGGTAGGGGGCGGTACTGCAGGCTTTAGTATTGTTCCTAAGGGGGAAAGTGGGGACGAGGGGAATGTTTTATAATTCTTGAAATGGTGTGTGTTGTGTTTATCATTCTTCAAATGGTGTATGATGTATTTCAAATCTTTTAAAAAGTTAAAAAATACAGGATATCTCCTCAAATTCTTTCAGGAACAGATGAAGTCTACATAAATGAGATGAATATGCAAATAAATAAAGCCGTGTATTTCCTCTAAATACTTCTTTTTCTCTCCCAGTATCTGGTCAATGTTTCCAACGAAGACACAAGTGTTCATATTTTACCCCCGCAAACCAAATACTTTGAGATCAATTATGTAAGAAAGGTAAGTGTCATTGGTTTCCCTGTTCTCCCACGGTGTGGTTGTCTGCGTCTCAGGCCTGCGGAGGGTGGGTGTGTGGTGTATTGTCACCCCTGGTGCTGCTGTCTGTGCAGTCTGGGGCTTGTCCCGACAAAAGCCCACCTGTCTTCCAGGAACACCACCTGGTCCCTGGCTTGTCCCTCACAGTCACCGTTACATTTTCTCCAGATGAGTGGCGATACTATTATGACTGCATCCGCATTCACTGTAAGGTGGGTTTCTTAACATTGCTTTTTTTTTTTTTTTTTTTTGATGGTGGGTTAAAACTGACATTCTCAAGGGTGGCAGGAAGAGAGATGGAATGACCACTGAGAGCTTTCTTGGCCCAGTGCCAGGTGTTCCCCAGGTCACCAGTGTGACTGGTGTGCAAGACTTGTTGCCCAGTGACATGGCCCAAGATGGGAAGGCGTTAGGCTGCAGAGGACCTGGACAGAGTCAGGAGATGCTGTTCGCTGCAGGCTTCCCACTGCCCTGTGCCTAAAGCTTCATCTATCATGTGGGGCTGGCAGTTGCTGAAGCCTTTTCAAATAACTTTAACATACTCCCTTAAATGCTAGGTTGAAAAACTAACAACCATCCAAGTTATGATTATAAGCACCAGCCACTGGCCTATGCCTGGGATTGCCCACAGAGGCAGCCCTGGTGCGGGGATGGGGGTGGTTCCGGGAGGTGGGAGCTGTTTGAGTTCTTCTGAGCCTTTCCTAGGTCACCTAATTCGTCCTTTGGACTCCAGCCAGAGCTGCTGTTATTCCTTCTCTTAACACTGTCCCCTCTGCCCCTCCTTTTGCTCTATAGTCCAGACCCAGTCTTCAGCTTGAGAAGCCCTTAGGTTAACTAAATTATTGATGTTTCAAAACCAAAACAGAAGAGTATACATTAGTAACAAATGAGTTTCTACTGTTTTTCTTTTTAAGTAATGCTTTATTTCTTACAATCTGTACAATAAGGTGACTTGCCTTGAAAGCATTTCACTTTTTCTTTCCAAAAAAGTTACAAAAATTTGCAAAGTTAACTTTTGTAAATTGATAGTGTTGTCTCTGACTCACATCATCATATTAGAGATGCATTTCCACAGGGGGAGGGAACGAACCTTAGACCCAACATACCCACAGTAGTATTTTTGATCAAGAAGCGCATTTCCTTAAGAATGTGGTAGACCATTTTTATTTTTTTGGAGTTTCAATTAAAAAAAATATAAAAATGGCCGGGCACAGTGGCTCATGCCTGTAATCCCTGCACTTTGGGAGGCTGAGGCAGGGGGATCACCTGAGGTCAGGAGTTCGAGACCAGCCTGGCCAACATGGTGAAACCCCATCTCTACTAAAAGTACCAAAAATTAGCCAGGCCTGGTGGTGCACACCTGTAGTCCCAGCTACTCCGGAGGCTGAGGCAGGAGAATCACTTGAACCCAGGAGGTGGAAGTTGCGGTGAGCTGAGGTCGCACCACTGCACTCCATCCTGGGCAACAGAGTGAGACTCCATCTCAAAATAAAATAAAAAATAAAAACAAAACCAGAATATTGCTTTCAGATGGAATACTCTGTGCTGAACATAAGAAGAATCCCTAGAACACGCATTGTATAAAATGCCAGGACACATTTTCTGTTACTACCATATAATGCTAATAATAATACCTCACTTTTATGCAGTACTTTTGACTTTTTAATGCCATCACCTGCTTTAATTCTTAAAAATGCCTTTAAGGAAAGATGTGATTATCTCCATTTTGCAAAGAAAGAAACTATGCCTGGAGAGGCTAACAGTCCTTCTGAAGGTTAACGTCCTATGAGACAAGAAGCAGGTTTCTCTGCCCTCTTGCCAATACATTGTTTTCTATTCTGTGCTGTCTGGATCAGATGACTCTGTGTTGGTTCTCTTTTTCTTGGGCCACTAAAGATTGTGTTTCTTCATAATTTTCTGAAATAGAAGCAGATAGATTACCGTCTTCATATCTCTATGAGGCATCATTATCTTTAGCGTCCTTGGATAATAGTGAACATCATTTCAATAAAGAGTACTTAAACTTTTCTACGCTTTGTTTTTGGCTAAGAAAACTCAGTATTTCTAATGTTGTAGTTAAGTGCCGAAGTTTCTTAAGGAAATATTTTTTAATGATAGAAAACAAGATAAGAAATAAAGCATCTACAAGTTTGTCTAAAAGTCGTAGTCTTCAAAATGTTAAACTTGACTTTTACTGATTAATTTTAGGGAGATGACACTTTGCTTGTTCCTATTCATGCCTATCCAGTAATGAACTCACTGGACTTTCCTTCATTTATAAATCTGTCAAATGTTCTACTTGGTGAAAGGTGAGTTACCAAAATGTCAACAAAATGTATAGGACGTGAAAAACTAAGATATTCATACGAAACCTTAGATTTTTGTTTTTCCTAATGGAAGTTCATCCTTCCACCTGAAGTAGACTAGACTTGTCATTGTAAAAGGCCAAAAAAACAAAACAAGAAAAACAGCAAAAACAAAAACCAAACATGATTCAAAAGGTCATAAGCAAGAAGGGGAATTTATTGGGTCAATTAACGGAAAGGTGCAGGCTAGGTGGATCTTCACGTGCCTCTGGGTCTAGGGATTTAAATCCGGTTGCAGGAGCCTAACTCTCCCCATATCTTAGTTCCACTGTCTTGCACTTCATTCTCAACAGGTCCCCTCCATGGGGACAAGACAGCCTCCAGGAGCTCCAGACATTAGCCTGGGGATGGGGTGATTGGAGAGGGTGGAGAGGTTGGTGACATTCAAGCAAAACCCCAGGACTGAGGCTTATGGGACCAACCTGGATCATATCCCCATCCATTAACCAATCTGTTTTTGAGATGAAGGCAAAGACAACAGAATTTCACTACAGAAGCCAAGGCTCAGATTCTCTCCTTTTTTTGGGAAAATGGTGAATGATTCCAATATAACTTAAGGAATGTCTGTTCTTTCAGTAAACACTAAATGTCTACTACCAGGCATAGTGCTGTCTGTCCCTAGATGGATATTGAGCTGTTAGATATTGATATATAGTTACCCTTCAGTATCCATAGAGGATTGATTGGTTCCAGGACCCCCCACAGGGTCCATGGATGCTCTAATCCTTTACATCAAATGGCATAGGCTGGGCTTGGTGGCTCACGCCTGTAATCCCAAGAGTGTGTGAGGATTTCTGTTTCTCCTACATTGTTGCTAACAATGGGAATTATCAGACTTCTGCATTTTTGGTGACTTTTACATTCTTAGCCCCATGCTCTTCCATTCTCTATTTCTTTTCCCCAAAAAATTCTGCAAGAACTCCACCGCAGTACCTCCTCCTTCCCGCTCACCAACCCTTCCTGTGTTCGCTCACTCCTCCTCAGTAGGTCTGTACAGGGACGCCAAGAGTTTAAAAAGGTGAATCCTTCCTTGCAGGGTCCTCTCACTCTCTGAATTTTGAGAACAGCTATTTCCTTTGAGTGGGCAAATACAGCAATTTTTATCAAAGTTGAAGTGGCAGAAAACAACTAACTCCGTAGTTCACTAATTCTTTTTTATTTTCTTCTTTTTTCCCCTCCATAAATTACTTTTTGTTTGGATCATAAGCCAGGCTTATGAGTTGAGAACAATGATTTATAAAACTGGTGAAAATAATATGCCTAATAATGCAGACATCAGCCTTGGGTTCTTAAACCAAAAATCTACCAACCTCGCTAGAGGCTGTTCCCAAGCTCCTTTGTATATAATACCCTTCATTTGTAACCAGAATGAAAATTTCAGCTGAATGGTTTATTTAACTGAGTTATTGTATATAATGATGTGATATTTTTAAAAAATCTTTCAAAAGATAAGCACACTACTCTTTTCTTCCAAACATAGGCAGCAGGCATAGCCTTCCAAGACTTCATGCCCTTCATGTAATGGCTTGTAATCAACTTTTAACTATTCAAACTGTGCTATGTTACATTCACTCCAAAATGTGTAGTAACAGGATGGGGAGTGACTACTGGAAAAGGCTTTCAGCTAAAGTGTTTTCTATTAATCCTAGGCTACCTTGGGGTTGAAGGTATCATTTGGGTGGGTTCTTTATGCAGTATTCATTCACTCAGTCAGTTAACAAACCTTTATTGAATGCCTGCCATGTGGCAGGTACAGTGTTAGGTTCTGAGGATGCAGAGATGATCAAGACCTGGTACCATGACTAAACAGACAGTTTCCATGCCTAATTCGGTGTATACTGAGAAGGGATGACCCGGCTTCATTGAGGTGAGTTGAGGGCAGGCAGGATGAGGAACTCAGGCAACACTTCCAGGAGGAGAACATGTCTGAGCTGAGTTTGGAAATTTGACTAGAAATGAGCCAGCAAAAGGAGTGTGTGGAGTAGAAAAGAAGAGGGGGTGTTCCAGGAATCATCATCTGTAGAACATTTTAAAACAATCAAGTCTACTAAAAGTGAGTCAGCTTTTGCATATTACCATGCACTGACAATTCTTAATATTGCCAATGATAAAATACTCCTCCCTGCAAGGGTGGACTTGCTCCTAGCCACTGCCTCTGATGCGTGAGAAGCTATCACCTTAAATGCCAATCTCGCCTGTGGTCTCCAAGCTTGCCACTCTCATTTTTGTTGGTGTCACAGCACTTTGTTTCCTGTGAGACCCATCGAGCCATCCTACTCTGTGCCAACTGCGGTCCAGCCTTGCTCCTTCTCTGCCTTAGCATGAGCACCCCCCAGCCCTTACCGACATGAGCACCCTCAACGTGGCTCCATTCCTGTCTGCAGGGGCAGCTTGTCATCAGATTATGGGCCTAGAAATGTGCACCTCTGAGTGTTGCCTGTCAGCACATGTCCCAGCTACCTGGCGGCTGCTGAGCCCTACCTCACTGGTCTTTCCATCCTGCACACCCCACTCAGAGGCAACTCCTGGGTCAGTGCCTCTTTTGGCTTCACCATCTACTTGTCATGATGTCTTTCAGCGATGGGGCCTCTGACTGTGCTTGCAGGGTGGTGTTTTTTTCCATCTAAGTTTTAGATTTTATTTTTATTGTATTGTATCAAAATATATGCAGCATAAAATTTACCATCTTAACCATTTTTATGACTATTTATCTTACCATAATAGGGCCTGGAGTTTTTTGAAGACTTTATATTCTTATAGCAGTTTCATTCAAAGCAAAATTGAAAGGAATGTACAGAGATTTCCCATATCTCCGTGCCCCATGCATGCAGAGCTTCTCCTTATCAACAACCCCCACCCAAGTGCCGTATTTGTTACAATCAATGAACCTACATTGACAGATCATTATCACCCAGAGTCCATAGTTTAGGGTTCACTCTTGGTGCTCTGTAGCCTATGGGTCTGGACAAATGTGTGACATGTGTCCACCATTGTGGTATCATGCAGAGTATTTTCACTGCTCTAAAAATCCCATGCTTCTCCTATTCATTCCTCCCTCAACCCCCACAACCCCTGGCAACCACTTTTTTTTTTTTTTTTTTTTTACTGTCACCATAGTTTCTCAGAATGTCATATAGTTGGAATCATATAGTATTTAGTCTTTTTCTGATTGAATGCTTTCACTTAAAATATGCGTTTAAGGTTCCTCCATATCTTTTTAGGGCTTGGTAGCTGATTTCTTTTCAGTGCTGTGTAATACTCCATAGTCTAGATGTACTACAGTTTATTTATTCATCCACCTACTGAATGGCATCTTGACAGCTTCTAAGTTTTGGTAATTATGAATAAAACTGCATTAAACGTCCATGTGCAGGTTTTTGTGTGGATATAAGTTTTCAGTTCCTTTGGGTAGATACCAAAGAACATGATTATTGGATTGTATGGTAAAAGTATGTTTAGTTTTAAAAGAAACCACCAAACTATCTTCCAAAGTGTCTATAGTGATCTACTCTGATGATTTCTTTTAACTGGTGCAGTTAGACTACTGATATTCACAGTGATTATTGATACAGTTCTATTAATATCTACCATATTTGTTAGTTTTGTATTTGTTGCCCTTGCACTTTGGTTTTTTTTTTTGTCTTCCACTATTTATCTTCCTGTGGTTTTAACCGTGTATTTATATGATTCAATTTTTTCTCTTTTCTTTTAGCACATCAGTTATATTTCTTTGTTTACTTTTTTTAGTGGTTGCCCTAGAGTTTGCAATATGCATTTACAACTAATCCAAGCCACTTTCAAATAACGCTGTACTGCTTCACAGATAGTTTGAGTACCTTAAAATAGCAAAATAATCCTAATTTCTCCTTCTCCTTTCATGTATAATTGCTGTCACTCATTTCACTTATATATATAAACATACACAAGCATTATATATACATATATATGAATATTTGTACATATAAGATATATACATAAGAACACACAATTGAAATAATTATTGCTATTATCCTGAACAAACTGTTAGCCGTTAGATCAATTACAAATTTTTTTTAAAGTTTTAATTTTGCCTTCATTTATTCCTCCTTCAATGCTCTTCCTTTATTTTTATTTTTAAGTTCTGGGATACATGTGCAGGATGTACAGGTTTGTTACATAGGTAAACGTGTGCCATGGTGGTTTGCCGTACTATCAACCCACCACCTAAGTATTAAGCCCAGCATGCATTAGCTATTTTTCCTAATGCTCTCCCTCCCCTTGTCCCCCATCTCCCGATAGGCCCCAGTGTGTGTTGTTCCCCTCCCTGTGTTCATGTGTTCTCATTGTTCAGTTCCCACTTATACGTGAGAACATGTAGTGTTTGATTTTGTGTTCCTGTGTTAGTTTGCTGAGGATAATGGCTTCCAGATCCATCTGTGTTTCTGCAAAGGACATTATTTCATTCCTTTTTATGGCTGCATAGTATTCCATGGTGTATATGTACCACATTGTCTTTATCCAGCCTATCATTGATGGGCATTTGGGTTAATTCCATGTCTTTGTTATTGTGAATAGTGCTGCAATTATTGTTCTTTCTTTCTTTATGTAAGTCCAAGTTTTGACCCATATTATATTAATTTTCTCTAAAGAACTTCTTTTAACATTTCTTTCAAGGCAGGTCCACTGGCAACAAATTCCCTTTGTCATTTTTGTCTGAGAAAGTTTTTATTTCCCCTTCACTTTTGAAGGATAATTTCACAGGGCACAGAATTCTGAGTCAATGGTTTTTTTCTCTCAACACTTTAAATATTTCACTCCACTCTCCCCTTCTTGCTTCCATGGTTTCTGAGGATAAGTCAGATGTAGTTCTTATCTTTGTTTCTCTGTAGGGAAGGTTTTTTTCCTTCTGACTTCTTTCAATATTTTTTTCTCTCTCTGGTTCTCTGTAGTTTGAAGACAATATG